AGGGGGCAAAGTTAAATTTTCCTGAAGAATTTTTCCTAGAGACAACGATTGAATGCACTCTGGATGCTGAATTACTCCCACATGTTGCGTTGTCACTGCATGAAACCCCTCTACCCTCATGCGATTACCAATCTCTTTACCTCATATGTTTTCTGAATGCGCAGAGCGCCGTCCCAGGTAGTAAGAACTCCTCCCTTGCTGACACTTACATACCAGAGTGGGGGTGGGGAAGAGATGGCCAGTATCCTGGTAGTTGGCGCTTGCTGAAAAGCCAAGACAAATATTGCACCAACGATCAGTTCTCCTTCTGTTCTCCATGTCACATTACATACCTGCCTGTAAGTCAGCCATCACATTCAATGGGAGGCTAGAATTTGACCATTCTCCTTCAAAGTGACCAGGAAATGCTCATCCAACATGATAGTGAAATAAGCAAATGACGACTCAGCTCATTTACTGAATTAACCTTCCCTAGATTTAAGTGCCTGGCCAGAAATGTTTTACTGCCCGGCAGCGGAACAAATCTGGAAGTTTTTCTTCACTTTCTGCTAGAAATTCAACAAGAAACTGCCCTCACGACACTTCCAGAGAAACACAAAACTCTGCCAACTGCTGCCTGGGGCTTTAGGAAAACTGCCGTAAAGACAGAGACATGGGAACTGGTGGTGCTGTAGCACCCTTGGGCTCCCGGCTTGGTGCTTGGGGTCCGTGTTGCCTCCCCACACACTGAGTTTTTGGCTGCCGGCCGTGCATGCTGGGTTCTCGGCTGCCACTCCACATACCTGGGGCTCCGTGGCCAGCCCTGTGTGCTGGGGTCTTGGTTAGAGCCCCTGGCATGCAGTATAGCATCTGATATTCTAGCACTTGGGGTTCTGGCTGCCGGCCCTGCATACCGGGGCTTTGCTCTTGGCCTCAGCTGGGGGCGCAGCCCTCCGGCTTTTAAAAATATTCCCATGGTACTGAGTAAAGATGGGGGGGAAAGGAGTAAAGATCAAGTTTTAAATCCTTTTGTTTTCCCTTTGCAAGGGAAAAATGTAGCTGAAGACGAGAGGAATGTAGCACCGGGGATGGCTGCGGGGCAGTGGTATGGCCAGTTACAATTCAGTTCCTCCACCCCTTCGCCCAACGCGCTCCCCTCTGCTCACCTTGTTCTGCACACAGTGCCGGATGAGGGGCTCCCGGCTCTGGAAGATCTCCTGGGCTTTCGTGCAGTCCCTGTCTCTGTAATAGAGCAGCAGGTGTGCGCAGAACTCGTTCCAGTCAATCAGGCCGTCGCAGCGGGCGCCCACCTCGAAAGCCACAGCAACAAATGAGGAGGAAAAGCCAATGCGATTTCACTGGTAGCCTGAGCAGGCGGGATAGTCCTCCTGATCATATTCCGCTCACTGCTTCTATTACCGTATCAGCCGGCAACATTCCCGGTAACCCATTATGCCAGAGCTAGGCAAGATATGGCCCGGGGGATGGATCCGGCCCACCTAGGACTTTAACCCAGCCCCCGGACTCTGGCCACTTTCTATTTACATCCTGATGCCCGAGCCATTGAATTACCAGGTGGTGGCTCTGACATCAGGATCCTATTGAAATGGCTCATGGTGCTACCTTGGCAGGGGTCAGAGCCACAAGCCCTTTCAAGAGCTGCAGCAACTCCAGGCAGCTGTCTGGCCACGTGGTAGTGGCTGCGGACCCTTTTCTGTGATTTTAATTCAAAGCCTCCAGCCCGGGAACAACTCTGGGGCAAGGCTATTCCCTAGCCCCGCCCCTTCTGCCTCAGGCCCCGCCCCCTCCAGGAGTGGAGCCGGCCCGTCAACCTGCACCCCCCTGGGAAAATTATCATCAACGTCTGCATCATGCTAAGCACGGCAAAGCTCAGACCGTGCCCAGTGGGTCCTGCGCTTCTGGTGGACAGTGCTTGCCTCAGAGGCTCGCTGTGACTCTCCCCTTGGCCTCTTCTTTTTCCAGAGGCAAGGGTCACAGCCTACTGAGTCATCCTGATCATAGGCTAGTCCACAGTTTGGGGTGAAAACCCCTCTGTAGCCCTGGTCTCCCCTCTCAGGAGCAGACTCTGTAGTGGTGTGGGAAGGACTGGCCCACCCACTATTCTTGGTTGCAGCCTAAGGCAGTGGCAACAGACTGGGCTTGTTCTAGTCCCATTCTGGCAGCTACTTCCTGGGCCACTTCCCCAAATGGTCCCTCCCAGGACTTGCCTCTGGTACCTGAGCGAGTCTGTCCTGCTCCTCCATGGCACTCTGCCTTGCTCGCAGGCCTCAGCTCGCTCACACACATCGCCTCACTCTCAGTTCTTGGACTAAATACCCTCCCTGCAGGAAGGCCTTACAAGCAAGACCCAGCAGGCCTTCTTGGGCTGCAGGTGTCCCGATCGACTTGCTGCTTCCAGAAAGCCTTAATTGGCCCCAGGTGCCTGTTTGATTATGCTGCACTAGGCTGAAGGAGAAGAGGGTGACATGTAAGGAAGAAATAACAGTAAGGCTATGTCTACACTCACCACTTCTTGGGCGAGAAATATGCAAATGAGGCTAAGCGTGGAATATAGCCGAGCCTCATTTGCATAGCGAATGAGACGCCTTTTTGGCCGAAGAGGCTCTTGCACCAGAAGGAGCTGTCTACACGGCCACTTCTTGCACAAGAAAAAGCCTCTTGTGGTAGTGTATCCACATTAATGGAGCCTGCCTCGGACTACATGGCAGACAGGGGAGATTCCAGAAGACTGGAAAAGGGCAAATATTGTGCCCATCTATAAAAAGGGGAATAAGAACAAGGTTTCTCTTGCGCAAGAAGGGGCAGTGTAGACAGCTCCTTCTGGTGCAAGAGCCTCTTCTGCAAAAATGGCGGCTCATTCGGTATGCAAATGAGGCTCGGCGATATTCCACGTTTAGTCTCATTTACATATTTCTTGCGCAAGTAGCCGCGAGTGTAGACATAGCCTAAGAGTGTTGCAAACTGTTGTGGGGGCTGGCCTGGGAATTATTTGCACACATGACCAATCTAACCCCAGCTCCTGGTTACCTTGTTGAAAAGCAGTGTCAATCGAGTGTTCCAGATCTCAGAGCCAGGCAGCTCGGACAGAGCTCGATGAAACTCTTGTTGAGTCAATCTTCCCGGCGGCTGCACTTTCTGTTTTCTGCGGGGTCTCACGCACTGGCCTGTGTTCTCTGCTTCTCTACCTTGGTCTTCCCCTTTGGGAAGGCTGTGATTAGCAAACAGTGCTTCCAGGAGCTGCAAGTGACCCAGCTCCAGCTCTTCTTCTAGCTGTGGGCTTTTACGCTGCTCAAACCTGGTGGCAAAGCAAAGCAAAGCAAAGGAAATGCTCACTGTGGACAGGGCAGACACTGAGCGTTGTGGGTGTCTATGCTGCTCAGCTCCTAGGTGTTAATTTGCCACGTGGTCTCTCTAATGGAGCAATAAAAACAAGAGAACAGCAAGGAGGGCCGGCCCAACGTGTCTTGTGTTGGGTACCCAGCATCTGTGGACCAGTGTTCCCTGAAAGCTTAGCACTTGGGCAGCCACCTAGGAGAGATTCAGGTGCCACTCAGCTGATTAGCAGAGCGCCCCCCAGCTGGCAGCATGTTTCTACTAGTGGTGCACATCTGCACATGCCTTGGTGCACCGAGCAACATTTATTCCACACACAGACGGAAAAAATTAGGGGGAACATTGCTGTGGACCCTTGAAAATATAGACATTGAGTTCTGGGTATGTCCACACTGCAGTTCAAAACCTTTGTGTCTGGTCCATGTCAGCTGATTCGCGCATATGGGCCTCAGGTTAAGGGGCTGTCTTGAGCTAGATCCCAGGCTCTAGGACATGGGGGGGACCAAAGCCCGAATGTCTACACTGCAGTTAAACATCCCTTAGCCTGAGCCACCTGGAGCAGGCCAGCCTTGGGTGTCCAGCTGCAGTGTGGACATACCCTATGGCTACATCTACACTACGAGTTTTCTCTGCAAAAAATATGCTAATGAGGGACTCATTTGCATGAGTTGTGATCTCATTTGCATGTTTTCTGCCGATCCGTTTTTCGCTAGGGTTTTTGTGCAAAAACAAGCAGTGTGGACGTATTCTTTTTGTGCAAAAACCCTTTTTCCTGCAAGATCCTTATGCCCCCAAAAAGGAGGTCTACTGATCTTGCAGGAAAAGGGGCTTTTGCACAAAAAGAAAATGTTCACACTGCTTGATTTTGCACAAAAACCCTAGTGAAAAAACAGATCGCCAGAAAATATGCAAATGAGATCGTGCCTCATGCAAATGAGTCCCTCATTAGCATATTTTTTGCAGAGAAAACTCGTAGTGTAGATGTAATATAGACATAGCCATAGGGTATGTCCACACTGCAGCTGGACAGCCAAGGCTGGCCTGCTCCAGGTAGAGAAAACTCGTAGTGTAGACATAGCCGGTATGAGTTTTTAATGGCAGAAAATATGCTAATGAGGGACTCATTAGCATGAGTCACAACCCCATTAGCATATTTTCTGCCGTTTCTTTTTGCGCAAGGGGTTTTTGTGCAAAAAGAAGCCGTGTGGACATTACCTTTTTGCACAAAATCCCCATTTTGCGCAAGATCCTTATGCCTGTCGTGACTCATGCTAACGAGTGCCTCATTAGCATATTTTCTGCCAAAACAACTCATAGTGTAGACATAGCCTGTGTCTCTCTTTCACACGCCTGTCAATGATAATACTGCTCTGTATCTCAGTGTGTTTGGGAGGCTTCTGGACCCGTGGACAGCAGGCACCAGTATTTATTCTTTATTCTTGTTATTACTGTGGGCAGCAATAAAGGCGTGAGTGGAACCAGAGAAAGCAGGAAGTGAGGCTGAAGCGAGCGCTTTCCCCTCTCCCTTAGGTGACAAGTTCACCAGGGCTGTGTCTACACTGGCATGAATTTCCGGAAATGCTTAAAACGGAATACTATTCTGTTTTCAGTTTTTCCGGAAAAGGAGCGTCTACATTGGCGGGCTGCTTTTCCGGAAAAGCCCTTTTTCCGGAAAAGCGTCCATGGCCAATGTAGACGCGCTTTTCCGGAAAAGAGCCCCGATCGTCATTTTTGCGATTGGGGCTTTTTTCCAGAAAAGACTACTGGGCTGTCTACACAGGCCCTTTTCCGGAACAGTGTTCCGGAATAAGGACTTATGCCCGAGCGGGAGCAGAATAGTTTTTCCGGAATAGCGGCTGATTTTGTACAGTAGAGCATCGTTGCTTTTCCGGAAATTCAAGGGCCAGTGTAGACAGCTCGCAGCTTATTCCGGAAAAGCAGCTGATTTTCCGGAATAAGTGGCCCAGTGTAGACACAGCCCAGGAGAGCGGCTGAGGCTTCTGCCCTCCATCCCCGGCCCTTCGCGTTCCTCAGAGTCCCTGAGAGACACAGCCCCCATCCCCTCTCCCCCCCTGCACAGGCGCTGGAACAAGTTTTAGGGTGGGGGTGCTGGGTTATGTCCCTCCTTACACACATTTCATTCGCCTGCGATGGTGCCAACTCTCCCAGACCGGATGCCGTTCGTGGCAACAGTGTTGAGTCCGTTTGGACCAGGAGTGTTGGCAGCCCGAGCCCCCACAAGGGAGTCACATTTAAGGGCAACTGCTGAGCCCCGAGCCAAGGCCAGGACCTAGCCCCACGCTGCTGGGAGGACCCTGGAAGGCAGCAGAGCCTCCAGGCCAGGGGCCTGGACCCTGGGGCGGGCAGGCCACGTATCCTGCATGGGTGGGGCCAGTGGGCAATGAGACCCTGAAGGCCGGTGGAGCCTGTGAGGCTGCCAGGTGGTGGCAAAGCCAGTGGGAACCCAGAGCCCCAATGGAACCCTGCGTGGCCACCCAGAGGTTGGGACCCGGGGCTGGTAAAGCAGGGGGCAGGTTGGCAGCAAGGCTGGTTCTCAGGAGCAGGAAAGCTGGGTGCAAAACTTGGGGCTGCTGCCCCCCCCCCCCCCCTTCCTCATCCTTTCCTCCTAGCTGAGCAGGACTGGACACGACACTGCCCAGCTTCTGAACCAGCCAGGGGCCTAGCACAGAGCTATGTGGGGCATCTTCTTCCTGTCCCTGGGGGCTGGACCTAGGTAAAACTCAGAGACAGCTCATCAGCCACCGCAAATTAGTGCAGCTCCACAGATTCATCCCCGGGGGAGGATTAGGCCTCAGGGGTTTCCTCCTAGCTGAGCAGGACTGGACACGACACTGCCCAGCTTCTGAACCAGCCAGGGGCCTAGCACAGAGCTATGTGGGGCATCTTCTTCCTGTCCCTGGGGGCTGGACCTAGGTAAAACTCAGAGACAGCTCATCAGCCACCGCAAATTAGTGCAGCTCCACAGATTCATCCCCGGGGGAGGATTAGGCCTCAGGGGTTTCAAACTCCCAGCCTGCGGGCCAACCCTAGCTGTAGTGATTGCATAATCTGGCTCAGGACTCCCAGAGGGCTGGGGGGGGGAGTGGCTGTCTGTTAATGGCCCCCAAACTCCCTGGCCCTGGGATTGGGGATTACTGAGGGGGGCCTGGCAGCATGGGGCGGCAGGAGCTGCAGGGGAAGTGGGGTGTACTGGGTGAGTGCACTCGCCCAGCTGCCTTCTGCTTCCCCATGCTACTGCGGGGATGGCCCGACCACTGCCGCCGCCATGCACCAGCCGCCCCCCCATGATTCCCAAAGATGCGAACTTTGGAACATGGCCATGGGGGGAGAGGGTGGGATGATGGCAGGCAGGGGCGGGGCTTGGGGACCAGTAATGGGCAGATTGCGCAATCAGGCTTGCCAGGGGTGGCCGCCAGGGTGTGAGTTTGAGGCTCTTGATCTAGTAATACCTTGCTCCACTCTCATGTGTCTTCCTAATTGCAAACCCCAAATGCACTCAGGCCTCAATAGCACATGACCCCACGACAATACATTCTCTCTGGCAAGCGTGGGATCAAATGAGACCATCCGATCTGGGTAGCTGCACAGATTGGAGGAAATCATAAGGATTCCAACTCTCATTAATTCCATGAATACCGTGAGGAATTCGCTGTCAATTAACAAGCCACAATTTGTTGTGATTTTTTTCCCCCTATTTAAGGCGTGGCTATGTAGAGGCACAACCTGTTGAATAGTAATTTTCTATAGAAAAGATTTAAATGAGTACAACACAGTATACATTTATATATAGCTGATTATATTCAGTTTCTTTTATACGGTCTTTTCAAAGGAAAAATATTACCACATGCTTAACAGCTGCTGGGATGGAGAAATATGAACAGCAGCAGCAACGACTGTGGTGTGCAAGAACACTGTTGCTGGTGGGTGTGTGCCATGTCTAAGAAATGAAGACTGTTCTCAGCAGGTAATGGATGGGCTTTCAAGAATGCCTATGGGGATGGAGTCATGAGCCATGTTAGCTCAACTGGCAACCATGGGACTTTCATGGTTAAAACACAGGGGCTACGTCTACACGGGCACCCTTTTCTGGATAGCTTACAACGGAAAACTTTTCCGTTATAAGCATTTTCGGAAAAAGCGCGTCTACATTGGCAGGATGCTTTTCTGGAAAAGCACTTTTTGTGGAAAAGCGTCCGTGGCCAATCTAGATGCGCTTTTCCGCCAAAAAGCCCCGATCGTCATTTTTGCGATCGGGGCTTTTTTGCTGTGTAGATGACAGCCAATCTAGATGCGCTTTTCCGCAAAACAGCCCCGATCATCTTTTTCTGCCCTTTTCCGGAACAGTTTTCCGGAAAAGGACTTTTGCCCGAACGGGAGCAGCATAGTTTTTCCGGAAAAACACTGACGATTTTACATTAGATCGTCAGTGCTTTTCCGGAAATTCAAGGGGCCAGTGTAGACAGCTGGCAAGTTATTCCGAAAAAGCGGCTGATTTTCCGGAATAAGTGGCCAGTGTAGGCACAGCCAAGTTGAACAACTTGCAACATATTATATCTCAGGACCTGCGAAATTCCACAAGTGAGGGTGTGAATTTACAGCACTATCTACTTTGCATTAACTCCCTGGGTGGGCTCATTGCAGACTTAAAGTGCCTTTGTGCATATTCACTTACTACACTGTACTAGATTATACTAACCAGCTCAAGGACACTTTGGGTACGTTGACATTGAACACTTATTTCAAAATAAGCTGTTCAGGAAGAAATATCTTAGGCTACATCTACACTATGATCCTCTTCCGCAAGAGGAAATGCAAATGGAGTGCTCATTTGCATATGTCACGCTCTCATTTACATTTCCTCCTCGGATCCCTTTTGCACAACAGGTGTTTGCACAAAAAAGTGCTGTGTAGATGACATCTTTTTGTGCCAAAACCCCCTTTTGTGCAAGAGCTGCTCTGCCTCAAAAACAGATGACACCTTTTTGTGCCAAAACCCCCTTTTGCGCAAGAGCTGCTCTGCCTCAAAAAAGTGCTTTTCCGGAAATTCAAGGGGCCAGTGTAGACAGCTGGCAAGTTATTCCGAAAAAGCGGCTGATTTTCCGGAATAAGTGGCCAGTGTAGGCACAGCCAAGTTGAACAACTTGCAACATATTATATCTCAGGACCTGCGAAATTCCACAAGTGAGGGTGTGAATTTACAGCACTATCTACTTTGCATTAACTCCCTGGGTGGGCTCATTGCAGACTTAAAGTGCCTTTGTGCATATTCACTTACTACACTGTACTAGATTATACTAACCAGCTCAAGGACACTTTGGGTACGTTGACATGAATTGACTCTGGTTCTGCCAGTCTTGCAAGTTAATTAGTCTTGAGTATATTAGGAAAAGGCCATGGAAAACCATCATCGTTTCAGGCGAAAGGGGGGCAAAGTTGATATGTCAGTGATGGAAAAGCAGAAGGAGAATTCATCCTGGAGTGCGTACAGGCAAGAAGTGCCAGCGAGTATAACAAGGTACGTTCTATTCTGACACTGGTACATTTATTAAGAGCTTGTCTACATGGAAAATTAGTGTGCCATAAGCTAGGGTGTGAATTTACAGCACACTAGCTGTTCTGCTCTAACTTCTTGAGTGAAAATTTTTACTGTGCAATAAAAGGGTGCATCTACACAGCAAAGTTATTCCAAAATAACTATGCAAGCATCAACACAGCAATTCCGTTATTTCGAAAGAACGGGCGGCTTATTCCCCCTTATTCCTTCCAAAAAATGAGGAAGAATGGCTCTTGTGCAAAAGGGGGTTTTTGCATGAAAAGATGCCATTTACACAGCAGTTTTTGCATAAAAACCTCTTGTGCAAAAGGGATCCAGGGGGGAATGGAAATGAGAGTGTGATGTATGCAAATGAGCGCTCCATTTGCATTTCCTCTTGAAGAAGAGGATTGTAGTGTAGACATAGCTGAACACTTATTTCAAAATAAGCTGTTCAGGAAGAAATATCTTAGGCTACATCTACACTATGATCCTCTTCCGCAAGAGGAAATGCAAATGGAGTGCTCATTTGCATATGTCACGCTCTCATTTACATTTCCTCCTCGGATCCCTTTTGCACAACAGGTGTTTGCACAAAAAAGTGCTGTGTAGATGACATCTTTTTGTGCCAAAACCCCCTTTTGTGCAAGAGCTGCTCTGCCTCAAAAACCGAGGGTGTGAATTTAATAAGCTAGGTTGTGAATTTAAAGCACACTAGCTGTTCTGCTCTAACTTCTTGAGTGAAAATTTTTACTGTGCAATAAAAGGGTGCATCTACACAGCAAAGTTATTCCAAAATAACTATGCAAGCATCAACACAGCAATTCCGTTATTTCGAAAGAACGGGCGGCTTATTCCCCCTTATTCCTTCCAAAAAATGAGGAAGAATGGCTCTTGTGCAAAAGGGGGTTTTTGCATGAAAAGATGCCATTTACACAGCAGTTTTTGCATAAAAACCTCTTGTGCAAAAGGGATCCAGGGGGGAATGGAAATGAGAGTGTGATGTATGCAAATGAGCGCTCCATTTGCATTTCCTCTTGAAGAAGAGGATTGTAGTGTAGACATAGCCTTATTTTAAAATAGCACATCTACACTACAGGGAAGCTTCAAAATTAGTCTGAGGCAGACTTCCTTAATATGGATGCGCTACCTCGATTTAGAGCCCCAGGAGGCACTGGGGAATAATTACTTTGATTGGCCCTGTGGAGGAGCTATTTCGAAATAGCAATAGTGGAGTTATTCCGAAATAACTGTTATTCCGAAACACACAACTGTTATTCCGAAATAGCTATTTTGGTATAGGTATTATTCCTCATGAATGAGGCTTATAGAAGTCGGAATAAGCCACCCGTTATTTCGAAATAATGGAATTGCTGTGTAGATGCTTGATTAGATATTTTGGAATAACTTTGTGGTGTAGATGCACCCTTTTAGTGCACAGTAAAAGTGCTCACTCAAGAAGTTAGAGCAGAACAGCTAGTGTGCTGTAAATTCACACCCTAGTTTATGGCACACTAATTTTCCATGTAGACAAGCTCTTAATAAATGTACCAGTGTCAGAATAGAACGTACCTTGTTATACTCGCTGGCACTTCTTGCCTGTACGCACTCCAGGATGAATTCTCCTTCTGCTTTTCCATCACTGACATATCAACTTTGCCCCCCTTTCGCCTGAAACGATGATGGTTTTCCATGGCCTTTTCCTAATATACTCAAGACTAATTAACTTGCAAGACTGGCAGAACCAGAGTCAATTCTGTAGCCCCTTCTTATCAAAGGAATCAAGATCTGAGTGGACTACAGCTGGGGGAAGGTTGGAAGTTCTTCTCCACGTTCTCCTGAGGCCTTGTGGTCCAATAATCCTTGAGCACTTGCTTGCTATCCAATATGAATGCTTTCCGGAAGCCCCGGATGACACTTTTGGTAGTAACCGCTATACGCTATGGCTGAATCAAACATTTTTGCTCAGATGCACGCGAACCAATGTTTCAAGTTTTCCCAAGCCCATACGCTATGGCTGAATCAAACATTTTTCCTCAGATGCAAGCGAACCAATGTTTCAAGTTTTCCCAAACCTGGATATGCCATACCATGCACGCCTATTCGGTAGCGTATTCTCAGAGAGCTGCACGGCTTAACGCCTCCCAAAGCCATAAGCAGTTGAGTATGTTACACAGACAGAAAACCAGAGACTTCCTTTTGAAAGGCCAAAACTAGGTATATTGGGAAGGGCTGTTAGCATAGTGACTCGCCTGGACTTGCACAACATGCTCCATCCTGCTTACAAATTATTTAGGAAGAGTGGCCAAGAAACGTTTCAAAGCAAGGGAATTTCATGTAGGGGATGGGTCTGTGCAAAGAAAAGCATTTGGTCAGTTTATGATTAACCTGATCATGTGCAGTGGATAGAGAGAAGAGATAATCAGCGATTTCTTCCTGTGCTTGGTTAGACATCCAGGGTCAGCACCCTAAGCCCAATGTGCAACCATCCATGCAGGCGACCCTTTGGAAGGGGGCTAATTTAGGGAATACCAAGTGGCACAAGTCTGCAACGCTGAGACCACGCTCTGCACTTGCGGGTTGGTAATACACACTGCACAGGAACAGAAGTGAGTAGCTAGGGAGACTTCTTCATCCTCCTGACTGCAGAAGCAGAAGACCCGACCTGTTTCATAAATGTGGACTGGTTATTTCGTAGTGAAGCAGGGTGCATTTTGGCCTTGCTATTTTCATTAATGTGTCATTTATTGTGCTGTCAATATTTTCTCATTGCCATAACTACAGGTGATGCTAACGTGCCTTTCCCTATTCCATTAGGTAGTTAAACTGTAACAACTCCATGAAGCCACCAGTCATGTGCAAAGCCAAGAATTCTATGGAGTCAATGGTCCATTCTTAGAGAGAGGGAGAAACCCAGGGAGTCTGTTGCTTTTTTACAATAGTATCACATCTCTCCTTTGTTTTCATTGTAAGTTCAAGGCCATCACTAGTCTTTGACAGCCTGAAATCAGTGTGAGACCATGATATACAGGCCCATATGCAGGAATTTCTGTGGGGGGTGTGTGCTTTTTTTGTAAATGTGGACCACAATGATGTAAATGAACCCCTCATGGTCCTCCCAAGTAAGCGGGGAAATTTGCCCCAGCCTTCCCTCGCTGGGTGAAGAGCATGGGGGAGGGAGGCTCGAGCTGCGTGCTACTCCTGCCTGCCCTTGGCCAGCTTGAGCATGCTTAGTTTGGGGACTATAGAGGTGCTTTTGCACCCTTTGCACCCCCACCCCGCATATGGGCTTTCACACCTGGGTAAGGAAGCAGGGCCTCAAAATTCCCGATCCAGTCCTTGCTGTAAATCTTCTTTGGAACATTTGTTGTTTTTTACCGTTCTTTGGAATGAACATTACAGGCAGCAAGGGCATCTAGCGAGGAGCCCTTTAAAGGTCCTGTGTGTGATAATCCAGCATCATCATAAGTGTGGGGCCTGCACAAATCAGACACCAGGAAGGGTATAACATATAAACCTGTAGGGGAACACCGTCACCTCACTGGACATTCAGAGTACGGCTACACAGCAACGTTATTTCGAAATAACTTAGTCTGAGTCTACACAGCTGGCAGTTATTTTGAAATGTTGAAATACTGTCAAGCTGGAAGACTTCTTACTCCGACTCCTGTAACCTTCATTGTACAAGGAGCAAGGGAAGTTGAAGGAGGAGTGCTCTATTTCAAAATAAGGGTGATGTAGATGCTCCCAGTTTTGAAATAAGCTACTCAACTGACATAGCTCAATTTGTGTAGTTTATTCTGAGTTGAGCCCTGCTGTGTAGACGCACCATCAGTAATGGATATGAAAGTAGCCATCCTTCTACAAAAGAATGTCAAAAAACAGTTACCGAGGGAGACATCTGACCTGGAATTCCTTTCCAAATTCAACACTATCAATTTAGGATTGATTAAGTAGCTCCACTGGTTAACAGTACAAAGGCAATTTCCTATCCCTGGGTATTCACATTGCCACCACATGCTATGAACGACCCACTTGCACCCTGCCTTGATTAACTTCATTATCACAAGCAACTTCATCCTTATATATACTCTTGCTCCTTAACTTTCACTCCAATTCATCTGATAAAGTGGGTTTTACCCACAAAAGCTTGTGCCCTAATAAATCTGCTAGTCTCTAAAGGTACGTCTACACTGCAGCTATTTTGAAATATCTTTAGAAATAACGGGTGCACTATTCCGACATCCCTGTAAACCTCATTCCATGAGGAGTAAGGGACATTTCGGAACAGCAGTTTATTTTGAAACAGCATCAAATTATGAAATAAGATATTTTGAAATTAACTCGAAATAAGCTACGCAATTTGTGTAGCTCACATTGCATAGCTTATTTCGAGCTAAGGGTGCAGTGTGGACGCACCCAAAGGTGCCAAAGGACTCCTCATGTTTTTTGCAGATACAGACTAACACGGTGACCCTTCTGAGACAGCCCTCTGAGGCAACGTCTAGACTGCAAGCCTCTTTCGAAAAAGAGCATCTAGACTACAACCAGTACTTTCGAAAAAGCAAGCCGCTTTTTCAAAAGAGGGCACCCAGGCAGTCTGAAAGCTCTCTTTCGAAAAAGCACCGTTTGCATGACATAGCACCTTTTTTCAAAAGAGCACTTTTGAAAAAAGGTGTTATTCCTCATAAAACGAGGTTTTCCACGGTCGAAAAAACTGCTGCATTCTTTTGATTTACTTTCAAAAGAATGCGGCAGCAGTCTAGATGCAGGAGAATTTTTTTCGAAAAAAGGCCACTTTTTTCGAACCCTCCCCCTGTAGTTTAGACACACCCTTAGTTATTTTAGAATCTCAGCTTTCATTGTAACCAATCAACACTTTTGAGTGGAGCTAGAAGTGACACCCTGCTGAGGATTTCATCCCAAGTGTGTGCTTCAATTGGCTTGACACACAATCCAAATGTTGTCCCCACTGCTCAGTATATTGTCCATCTCCCAATATCGACTGCATTTGTCAACATTCTAGTTCTGTTAAAAAGAAATCAGTGTTTGCTTAATCTTCAGGGAAGATCCTTAAATCCTTTGATATGGAGAAATATTTCAGATAGCTTGTGGAGAGATTGTTTTCTGGTTTCCTGTTTCAGATGAAACAAAGAGGAGGTGACGTTCACACCTCCGGAACACCCTACTACTGAAGGATGCTGTCTGGAGCAAGCCCCATGCAATTCTAAAGTCTAACCAGCAGATGGTAGATGATGAAAAGAGATGGAGAGCAAACAATACAATCACTTTTCACTGGGGTGAAAGCCAGTACAGAGTTGGAAAACAACCAGACTCCAAAGGAACCCATGTCATATGCTGAAAATATGTGCAAGACATTCCAGGAAAGAAAAAAGTCTTACGGATCCTTTCTTAGAAATTCTGAATTCGTGTGCAATGTTCTTTTAAAGCAAATCAACCAACACCCCTTTTCCCCCATTTTTGTTGTCAGGACAGAAACAATGAAGACAAACGACCCTTCCTCACCTTGCATGCTCCCTGTAACCTGACTTTTCTGCTTGAGAACATTTTAATCAAAGAGCATACAACTGTCTTCTGTCTCCATGGCTTTTCCTATGTAAGCCAAACCTCCCATGACTTCCTGTGCATACTCCTAAAAATATCCCCCCTTTCATTTTGGGGCCATCGTTCGCTGCTCCAGCATCTCACCATGACTACATCTCATTCCGAAGAATTAATTCGTGGTTCATATTAGATTCACAGAGGGACTGGTTGTAAACATAAAAGAAGACTGGATTGCACTGTAAAACTTGGTTTGTAATGAGATGTTTTTATGGTGAGTGACGGTAAGCTGTGTTCTGTGGGCCTATTTGATGTGCAGTGCTGGTTTAATACTTTTGCTCACACAGGGTGGCTACGTCTACACTGGCATGATTTTCCGGAAATGCTTTTAACGGAAAAGTTTTCCGTTAAAAGCATTTTCAGAAAAATCGCGTCTAGATTGGCAGGATGCTTTTCCACAAAAGCACTTTTTGCGGAAAAGTGTCCGTGGCCAATCTTGACGCGGTTTTCCGCAAAAAAGCCCTGATCGCCATTTTCGCAATTGGGGCTTTTTTGCGGAAAACAGTACTATGCTGTCTACACTGGCCCTTTCGTGCAAAAATCTTTCGGAAAAAGACTTTTGCCCGAATGGGAGCAGCATAGTATTTCCGGAAAAGCACTGATGATTTTATAGGAGCTTGTCAGTGCTTTTCCGGAAATTCAAGCAGCCAGTGTAGACAGCTGACAAGTTTCTCCGCAAAATCAGATGATTTTGCAGAAAAACTTGCCAGACTAGACACAGCCGATATGTCTACGCTACAGAGTTGTCAGAAAAATGGCCATTTTTCCAACAAAACCTGAGGTACGTACACACTGCAATCGCAGTCTTCAGAAAGTAAATCGAAAGAACCAAGTGGTTTTTCTGGTGTTGGTAATCCTTTTTCTATGAGGAAGAAGCCTTTTTCCGAAAGAGCTCTTTTGGAAAAAGGCATGTGTGGATGGGGAAGAGGGAGTTTTTTCGAAAGAAGAGGAAAGAGGAAAAAGCACAGGTGCCCTGGTGACCACTCCGTCTATATTAGTCACAGCTTAAATGTATGATAGTGTCCATTCAGTGTGGATGCTATCTTTCAAAAAAGCAAATCACTTTTTCGATGCGCTTTTGTGGGTGGACATTCTCTTCCAAAAAACGGTTCTTCCGAAAGAAGCCTGTAGTCTAGACGTAGCCACAGATGCATGTTCTTATGTGCATCAGCTTTGCAGGAGCAATGTAGAGCTCTAATATCTGAAAATGTTAAAGTGGAAAAGAAACAATGGGCTACATTTTCCCCTCACTGGCAATGTGGACTCCTGGAAAGGAGGAACAGTGCGTAGGTCATGGCACGTACATTTCTGAGAGACCAGAAGAAGGGTTTTTCAACCAACAGTGTCTGATAGTGGTAACCTCTAACATAGCTGCTT